CAAGGCATCCATCTTCCAGTTTCCTTCTTGCTAGTTCACTAACAGATTCTATACATCTGACGGCTCTTCCTTCCTCACTTAGTAACTCAAAGTAGCCTTTATACGTTTCTGGGATAGCAAGTCTAGGACCGACGCTGACCATTCGTCTTCCCTCTTTTAGTTTAATAGCTTGTGCGATAATCTTTTTCCTCTTGCCTGCGGAAACGAGTAGAGCCATGCTCTGTAATCCAGGACTGGGTAATGTTGGTACTCCGATTCCTCCATACTGGCCTTTAATGATTTTGGCTACGTTTGGCAGTCGGTTTTTAACGACGAATTCTCTTAGGTAGTGCCCCTCGTCTGCCCAGCGAGATGCTGCGACCACGACTTGCCCGTCCGTGGCTGCCATCGTGAGTAAGTCACATCTGAAACAAGCAGAAATTGGATGTTAGATTTGAAACGATTGTTGTTTGGTAATAGGAGTATGGACTTTTACCGAATGGTTGTCTGAACTTTATTTAATTATGTTAATGAAGTTTGGTATAATTACATGATGTAATAGTTTTGGTACAAAATTTTATTTCTTTTCATTTCAATTACAATATGCTACTGTGTTTTCACGTGTAGAATTATTTTTTTTGTCTTATTTGTTGACTTTTGATATTTGATAAGTCTTCATTTATACGTTATTCCGCATTTGTGATCGTGAACGATAAAATCTAGATATTTAAAATTCCAAAGCAAGGAAGTCACCGTCACCTAACCGGTTGGAAAAATGTCGAATCTTATAATAATGCTTACGAGATTCTGCTAAAAATATTGCTATAGATAATTTATACAATAAATCAGGTCATTCTGAATATATATAATGTGGTATTTACATCGAATAGTGTTTAATATTATTATAGAGACAGAATTTATGTTAATCTTTACCAGACAATAGACAAATTCATCAAATATTAGATAGTAAATGATGGGACTAAACTACTTTTTAGGGGTTAAAAACTTATGGGAATCAAGAAGGGTTAAAAATGGCTGTGACCTGCGATTACGTTAATATTCCTATTATTATAAAGCAATTGTAACAATCTTTGAGGCAACAACGTCCAGCAATCCACGTTTATAGTAAGGACTAGCTGTTCCCGTGCGACTTCATACGCATAAAATTATAAAGAATTGTAATTTTATTGTTTACATGTGTCAAAATATGAATTGCAAATGTCGAAATTACACATGATGATAAACCATGGTAATCTTGCTTCCTTAATGTTGGCAGCTTGTAGTTTATGGTCCCTTTCCCACATGTTTCCAATTTATTTATCCTCCAAGTTTAATAGCGTAAAAATATATAGCCTAAAGCGTGTCGTAAGCTTAGGGTTTTTATTAAAGAAAGAATTATTCAAACATATGCTGTGATTGCTGACATCCTACGCCACATAGTGTGTGTTTACGTTTTATTATATTAGTACAGATGAATAAAAGTTGCAACTACCAAATAGCCACAATTTACGCTTCAGAAAGGTGTTCACGTATTGAGGTATACTCCTGAACTTGTTAACAGTCCGTTAAAAAAGCCATTAAGATTTTAATCAGACCAAAAACAAAAAGTTCTTCCAAATTGTTTGCGGTACTTTGTAATTATAGCAGTATGCTCGTACTAGGTGTTCTCGTGGCTTCACCCGCATGAAATTATGAAAACTTTACTTTATTTTTTACGTGTGTATAACTTTCATGTGCAAATGTCAAAATTCAAATGCACAAATAACAAATACCGTTGCCATAACAACCTTGTTTCTTTGATGTCAGCTTGTAGTTTTTGTCCCTATCCCCCGTGATGGTTTTTTCCAAACCACTTATAAAGTGAGAGACTGCAACAGCCGGAAAACATATAGCCTATAGTGTGTTGTAAGTGTAGGGCTTTTTAATAAAAGGGCTTTTTAAATATGCAAAATACCAATTACCTTACTGTGGCAATTTTGCTTCCTTTATGTTGGCAGCAGTTATGGTCTCTTTCCCACATCAGGGTTTTTATCCAAAATTTTTACCCCCTAAGTTTAATGGCGTGAAAATATATAGCCTAAAGCGTGACGTAAGTGTAAGACTTTTTATTAAAAAAAGAATTATTCAAAAATATGCTGTAATTGCTGACATCTTAGGCAACAAAGAAGTGTGTGTTTACGCTTTATTATATTAGTATAGATAGATTACCTTGCTAATTAGTCGTAGTACTTTTAGTGATTCAACTAGAACCATATAGTCTAGTAGAGTTGTCGGCGCGTAACGTGGTGTTTCTGAATTACATCAGCTAACTGCTATTGTTTGTGTACGTTGACCTTAACTTTGCTACGTGTTAGGGTTACCACTTCGTAGTAAAAATTAGGATAAACTTATTATTTAACACGCTCACTGCGTAACAGGCCGATATCGGCCTGACGCGGTAAAATAAGACTATGGCCCTCTCGCTAGCGGGACACGATTATCTCAGTATTCATTACATAAAATGTATCAAGTTTTCACAAAGTAATAGCAATTTAATCTATCCTAGTGCTAGTGGGTCTAGAAAGACCTGCCACGCCCTGGCGGATATATCATTGGGGGCACATTTAGGCCCGCCGCCGCACCGGATGAAGAATTATGATTTTATTTGACGCAGTAAACGTGTTAAAACAGTGTATGGAAGTAAGTTGACAGTGCCTTTATCAACTTACTCTTAAAGGGCACATGGTTATAAAATTGTATTTACTTTTTACAGGGTTGATTTTTAATTTTATTTGTAGATGTCGCTATTTTTTGGTCAACAGTTAACTTGCACTTGTATTATTTTGTAGTAATAAATGCTGATTTTCTACAAAATTATGTGGCAGTACGTTGAATTGGGAATATCCTCGTAATATACAAAGTGTGGTCACAGCAGTTACAGATACAGTTTGTTTTATACGGCAAAAGAGTTGCATAACAAGAAGGTTGTTCACATGTGCGGATTTAAGAATATCGACCCCTTAATCTTTACTCATTTGTACGAAAGTGATATGCGATACCGTTTTATACCTGAATTGAGGTTAGAAAATGAATGTTTAATTCCGCAATAAATTGTACGAATTTGTGTTAATTAGATGTTGCTTTTTAAAGGAACACGATAAAGATTTTTTAAGTATGTAAGATTTTGTACTGTTAACTCTCTGTTCTGTGCTGTTTTTATAACAGCTGTTGCTTGCGACTTCGCCCGCGAAAAGTTAAAAAAAATATAGCATGTGTTACTCACTGATAACGTAGCTTTTTAATAGTGAAAGAATTTTTAAAATCGGTCCAGTAGTTTTTGAGTTATTTTAATACAAAAATACAAATCTTTCCTCTTTATAATATTAGTATAGACTTGATGTCACCCCTGTCCGTCCACGATTAAAAAAAAACTTTTTAGTAGCGTGTGATGTTCCAGACTATACATCTATATCAAATTTCCGTATACATCGAGTACTGGAAATACATAGTAACAAACATCCATCAATCTAACATATATCATATGAGCAACATTAAGTTAATCCATAATAACTACTCGCTGTTGCTCGCTAATTCGTTTGCTAAAAATTAAAAAATATAACCTATGTTACTCACAGATAAATTACCTTACTAACGGTGAAAGAATTGTCGAAATCGGCCCGGTAGTTTTTGAGTTATTTACATGCAAAAAAAAACAAATCTTTTCTCTTTATATAACTAGTATAGAAGTATAGATGATGTAGACGCAGTGTGTACTTTGTATTTAAAACTAGGACTCTTATTAAATTTAATTAAAAAAAATATAGCCTATGTTACTCATAGATAAATTACCATACTAACAGTGAAAGAATTTTTGAAATCGGCCCAGTAGTTTTTGAGTTATTTACATGCAAAAAAAAACAAATCTTTTCTCTTTATATAACTAGTATAGAAGTATAGATGATGTAGACGCAGCGTGTACTTTGTATTTAAAGCTAGGACTCGTATTAAATTTAATTAAAAATATAGCCTATGTTACTCACAAATAAATTACCATACTAACAGTGAAAAAATTTTTAAAATCGACCCAGTAGTTTTTGAGTTATTTAGATACATAAAATCAATTTTTTCCTCTTTATAAAACTAGTATAGAAGTATAGATGATGTAGGCGCAGCGTGTACTTTGTATTTAAAGCTATAACTCGTATAAAATTTAACTTAATCTTTACTATTGTAAAGTTTATCAAATCGATTTACTGTTTTCGAATATCTATGAAAATAAAATCTATACAAAAACTGTTCATCTTATATTTGCGTCACGATAATTTGTGTAATATAAAAAAATTCAATACTTCTGCCGACTGTACATCACGATTCTATCGCACGATTAACTCTATTGTGCTTGTTGAGATAACATTGCGTCTAACTGTACCCGTTCGGTTTGTAGACAAATAAGGAGGGTCGTGTTGGGCCATAGAATCGGTGTATTATTTATTATTTTATTATAATGAGTTGCTAATCATATTGTTTACCCATTTATTTCCCTTGATTAAACAAAGATAAGAATATTTTTGTTATACAGCAGAACGTCGATAACTCAAACCTCGGTAACTTCAAAAAATAATATGATCCCTTCCCAACAGAGCCCAAAACCTCTAAAACATAGACACTTGATAACTTAAAACTTTTATAACTTAAAATATTTTGTGTTTCCCTTGGACTTGTAACTTATCGAGGTTCTACTGTATGTTGTGGTAGCTGCTTCGGAAGATAAACTTATTTATTCATGACAGAATAAAACGGAAATTACATTTTATTGCAATAAAATGTTCAACCAAACTGATAAGGCTTCTGCTTTATGTTGTTACCGTTTTTCCCTTTGATTTCCGTTCAATAACATAAATTAAATTTATTTAAATCAATAAGATAGTTAATTAAGTCAAAACTTAATTTAAATACCTAAAATAAATATTCTACTCCGAGATCTGTTATTAATTAAAATGACGTTAATCAGATTAGAAATTAATTTAAATTATACGTTCCGCTTATGAAAACGCTTATTTAATGGACGTAACAAACGAGTTGCGTTTGATAGACCGCTATGTCGGTTTCCCATGATACCGCAGTTGATTTGTCCTGTACCAACCTAATCAGGAATTGTTATGTTTATGACAATCACTATTATGGGAACGAGTTTTTTTTTCTATAATAAAGCGAAACCTTAAGAGATTGCCCATCGCGCTAAAGTCGCACTATAGTTTAAATTTTCCTTTACGGACGATAAAACGCTCTTGGGAGCGTTGGAGGCCTTTTTTGTGTCGGCAGGGAAATCTGCAAAAGATACCTTGCCTACTGGGGGTAAGCAGGGTTATGTACGATTTGACCTGCTAAAACCACCTCGGTGGCCATCCTTTAGTGACAGACGAAGGTTCCGGTATCTCCAAGGAAC